GGACATTATACAAAGTGTCTGGTTAAACTGGTTTCTAAAGCTGAATGTCAAATTTTACTTCTGGCTTTCAGAGAGACAATGTAGAAAGACCAAAGAAACCACAGCCGAGTTTACTTAATCGTTATTGGATGAAAGACAGCACATACGTTCACATCTTATAGATGCAAATTTTTCTGACAGTGTACGTACAGAGAATTTTTGAACTGAACTGAATCCAAGTAACAGCAGTTAGCCTAAGGAGTAGTGTTTGAAAACTGCTATTTTGAGAAACCCTGCTGTTGACCGTTGGTTCCTCAATGAAAGCATTTCTCCCAGGAGATGCCACACGGCAGGCCAGCTCTGGTTCACAGGGACCGCACTTCACGCAGTGCAGGACGCAGGCACGCCATCCTGGGTCTCAGTCACGCGGGCGGATGTTCCGCAGGGCATCTGTGAGTTAAAGATCGCTGGTTTGCTTCTCTGACCCTCTTGGCCTCACAGTGGCTGGTGCACCCTCCTCAGCAATCCACGGCTATGGTGCTTTGTTGGGAACTAAACACATGCCCAGGACAGAAAGAGCCACTGGGGCCGAGCCCAGACCTCACCCGATGGGAGTGCAGGCAGGAGCCCGAGAGAGTGAGAAGCACAGAATTCTTGGGTCTCAGGTGGAATCAGAAGCGTGCTGAAGCTCCCCACTTATAAGCTGGAAAACCCTGGGCAAGGGGTCAATCCACTCTAAGGATCGGTTTCCTCCTTTGCAAAGAGGGATGACAGCCCTTCCTACTTCACGCGGTGGTTCTGACAATTGATTAACTCCTCTGCAGGAAGTGCTTAGCATACAGGAAGTGCTCCAGCGCTCCCTCAGCTAATGGAGCCTTGAGGAGCTGGCAGGGGCCAGCTGTGCGTTCAGGCTGGGTTCCTGTCCCTTAGCAGAGCAGGCGCGGGCATGGTTGTTCCAAATGCCACACTGGGAGGTCAAGCAGAGCTGGCCGGCCCCACCGCAGGGTTGGGCCCTGGGAGGAGCAGGAGCGAGGGGAGGTTGAGAAGGCAGCGAGGGCAGCGCTGCAAAGGACAAGGCTCCCCACCCCAGCCTCTGACCTTAGCATCATTTTCCTGGAAGCAACGGTCATTTTGCTTAATTTCTGCTCCAGTTTTCCCGTGTGCAAAGTGGGTTTCAGTGCTCTGCCTTCTTCACAGAAACAGTCAAGCTGGAAGAGTATTTTTTTGAATGTTCCGTAAAGACCTAGGCCTTGTAACTATCACCTGCCTCGTACACTGACGCCGGCTCAGAAAGGATGTAATTTTAAACTAATCGTATGAACTGTGAAACATCATTCCGATCTCTATTCGTTTACAGCTTTCCTGCATCTAAGTATTTAAGTTAAGAACGAACTAGCCCTGGAGAAAGGAAAGCCTGGCTCAGGGACAAGGACCAGGGAAAGGTGAGGAACTCCGGGGGACCGGCGGTGACCGTGGGCCAGGAAGTCCCTCTGGCAAGCCGAGTCCTTGGCTCTGCCCACCTCAGCGGCGTGTGTCCCGGGGACCACTCTCTCCCGCCCCCGGATGAAGAGCAGACACGCACAGACACGCCGGTCAGAGAACTGTGCAACCGGAGCAACAGAGACGCATCCATGTTCCGGTCGTGTTCCTTGTCTGGGTCTGACAAGGTCAAAACTCTGGGTAGTCACACCTGTGGACAGCTTACTGGTATCTGAGTATGGACCATTATGTTCTGGTTTTTTTCGTAACAGACTCATTGAGATTTCATTACATTCCCCAGTACTACAAAAGAGTCGTGAGGTCACAAGTACGCCTCCCCTCATGCGTAGGACCTGTGAGGGACTGACAGGACCTTTGCTTTGTAGTACTGGGGACTGAAGCCTAGGCCTTCACGCTGCGCTACATCCCTGGCCCTCTACTTTCATTTTTTATGTTGTCATAGGGTCTCACTAAATTGCCCCAGATGGGCTTGAACTTTCAATCCTCCTGCCTCAGCCTCCTTGAGTGGTGGGATTATAGGCATGAGCCACCTTGGCCAGCTCTAATTACCTCTCAAAGCCCTGACATTTACAGTGGCAATGGCTAAATTTTGGAGCAGATAGATTCAAAGCACAGCGGCGTTATTTCGGCTTTTTGGCCGTGTGTATGATGCTGCTACGGGCATCAGTAGCACACACAGCTTTGGTGTGGAGATAGATTTTCAGTTCTACTGATTATATGTCTAAGAGTAGAACTTCTGGGCCACGTGGTAACTCTATACTTAGCTTTTTGAGAAGAAATCCAAGTGTTTCTGATGTGGCCACGCCATTTTACACAGGATTCCTACCAGCCATGTTTGCAGGTTCCCATTTTCGTACCTACACATTACTGTCTGTATTTCTGGCTACGGATCTAAAGGGTGTGAGGTGGCATCTTCCTTTGGTTCTGATTTCGATTTCCTCGATGCGTAATGCTGTTGAACATCTTTTCTTACACTGTTTTGGTCAGCTGTTCATACTTTTTGGAGGAATATCTATTTAAACCCTTATTTTAATTGGATTATTTTGTTTTAAAATTTTATTTTTTGAACTCAAGGCTTTTAAAGGTAAATGGTCACAACTAGAGACCATACTCATAAGTGAAATAAATCAGACCTGAACGTGTAAGCAACGTATTGTCTCACTAGTGTAAGAACCTGAAAGAGTGAATAAAAACTAGGAGGTGTGATAGATGTTGTGAAATGAAAGGAAAATGCTCAAAAGTAAAGGGCAACTGGGGTTGGGAAAGGAGAAGGGAAAGAAGGGGAAATTATGTATGTATGTATATATAGGATGGCTGACATAGTTGTACTACTATCTTCTATTGCTCTACAGAAAGGAACAGTTAATGATTATTTATTTGATCAGTCTTGCATGTCTCTGTTTTTCTGAGAAACCACTTTGAAGATATCAATGTGTAATACAACAACCATTGTTAATTTCCTACAACTTTGTCTGTAACTCTGTTGTTTGTATTGTTCTTATGCTATTTTGTAAATGGATGTCTGTTTGTTAATGTTTTCCTTCTTTAATTTTTAAAATAAATTTAAAAAAATAAAATAAAATTTTATTTTTTGTTTTTTGGTACTGGGAATTGAACTCACAACCTTGTGCTTGCCAGGCAGGTGCTGTTCCCTGGAGTATTTTTATTATTGAGCTCAAAGGGGTTTTCACATATTCTAGGCAAGACAGTCCTTTATCAGATATATGATTTGCCAATATTTTCTTCCTTTCTCTGTGTTGTCCTTTCACTTCTTTGATGGTGCCCTCTAAAACGCACATTTGAACTGCAATAGTGCCCCTACATAGCTGTTTCCTCTTATTGAATTTTTTCTATGTTAGATGCCTACTTCCTGCAGCTCCTTAGGTGCTGTCTCCGCAGAAGGCCTATTTACTCCACCAGGCTACTTTCTGTTCTCACTTCTCAAATCCAGAGCTCTCCCTTCTTCCACTTTCAGCAGGGGTCCTCCTGGGACGTCTGGTCAACCCCCATCTGCGGCATCTAGCAATCCCTGCTCTACAGTGCCTCAGATCACCCTGGGGTTAGACTTTCTGGGCATGACTCCAACCTCCATCAGTGCGAGCTGGGCAGTCTTGCCTGAAACAACCATAAACCTCCCAAAGGCTCAGTTTCTTCATTTTTTAAACTCTGAAATTATAGAAAATAACGACGCACGTACAATACTGGGCCTGACTCATCATAAGCAGTGAATGTGTGCTGCGTCTCCAACACTTCTGTTCATGGCTGTTTCTCACTTCTGCAGCCGGCCTGGCTCTGGAAGTTTCGGTTTCTCTCTTCAGTCTTTGATCACTAAGCTGGGCTCCACACTCTGCCCCTAAGTTCTCAAACTGCTCTGCTTCAGCTCCCCGCTCTCTCCAGCCACGCCCACTCAGTCACCTGGGCTCAGAGGCCGCTCTTCACTCCGCTGCACCCACCAACCGCCTATGCTATCCTCCGCCTCGACCCAGGGATGCTCTGCGGCCTCCCTGCCTTCTCGTCCTACTCCACCCCGCCCGGGGTCCCCCTCCTTTCCACCGTCCCCTCCACACAGGCTAGGGAATAGCCAAGAATGACCCGCTGCACAGACCCAGTTCCGAGGGTAGACCCAGCACAAAAAGCGGCCAACTCCAAACCACGTGCAATAAATGAAAACACAGTGATGCTGGGTTTCATCAAAATTTAAAACTTCTGTTCCTCAGAGGACACCACGAAGCAAGTAAAAGGTCAGCTTATAGAACAGGAGAAGCCAGGCATGGTGGTGCATGCCCGTAATCCCAGCACTTGAGAGGCTGAGGCAGGAGGATTCCTAAACAAACCAAGTTCGTGGGCACCCTGGGGCCCTCCCTCGGTGCTCCCCACCCGCACTGTCCCCCCAGTACCTGCCTAATTGCCTCGACCACCTGGTGTCTTTGCTTAGCCCTCGCCTTTGCAGTCCAGCCTGCCCAGAGCTCCAACTTCACACTGTAACTGTGGGCCTGTCGCCACTTTCTGTTTTCAGGTGTGCTCTTCCACAGCAGTTTGCATCGATCTTTCCTCACTGACTTCTTCCTTACTTGCTAGTGAGTTATTTTTAGAAACCCTGTTAGGATCTGAGCTCCACATGAGATCTCTGCCACTGTATTCGGTGAGCTTTCCCGGGGACCTCGAGCAGTGCCTGGTGAGTATCGGCTGAAGCGGGCAACGGGCGGTGACTGCTGATGAGCGCGGACGTCTTCCTGGGGTCGCTGGCTTTTGCTTCTCTTTCATCGGTTGCCTGTCCGTTCCTTTTCCCTCTACTCCCAATTCTCCTGGGGCTGCGCCTTTGCTAGCACCCTCGTCGCCTGACTTCAGGGGGTGGGTAGCCAGCATGGCACAGGGTGAGCACAGAACGTCTAGGGTGTCTGCTGCGAGGAGAAGTCACAAGTGCTCTGCCGAAGTCTCTGCGTTAGTACCACTGCACGATTAGTTTGAAAGGAAATGAGAAACGTCTCTAAAAACGGGAGGGGAAGGAGTCACCGACTCACCCCGGCAAGCAGTCCCCGCAGACGGCGTCGCTGGTGACGGAGCAGTTGGCCTTCTGGAAGCGGTTCAGCAGCGCGCAGTCCAGGCACGGCTTGCACTTCTGGAAGCCCCAGTCCTCCTTGAACCGGTGCGGCCGACACGTCACACACTGTGCATCCTCCCCGTAGCCGAAGCCACATTCCTGCAGGGATTAATGGTGAGAGAAAGCTATTCAGGCTTTGCTAGCGTGAAAAAGCAAAGACTGCTGGGATAAGACGAAGAGCCGGTCTAATAATGACTGAGCGTCACCCTTCCTCCACACAAAGACGGCCTTTTCAGCAAGTTCAAATGTGTCTTCCACCGCTAATAATCTCTCTTACTGCGGTAAGCATACTTAGTCATCCACTTTATTCAAGAAGCCATGAGTGTGTGAATCAGAAAAGGCCTCCCGGACTCCCACTGTGGCATTATTGTTAGCTTACGGCAGAATTATGGCACTTTCTTCTTTTCTAATTAAGGCAGTCATGTGCACGCTCAGAGGCTGAAGCCAGAGCAACATTCAGATGCTCGTTCACCGATTCAAGGCAGAAAATAAGTGCACGGACTGCGGGGGCGGTACTGTGAGAAAGCAGGGCAGTTGCTAAGAGACCTCCTACGTCTGCACAACAGAGAGCTCCCTGAAATACTGGCGAACTCAGTATCGCCCGAAAGTGGGCAGGTTTTCACGTATTTGTTAAAAGAACGCTAAATTCTTGTTCAGACAGAACTCTCTGGTGCTGATGGTCTCGAGCATCTCCAGATGTGGACAGGGAAACACAGCAGGGTTCTCGGGCACAGGTGAGGGAACTGGCCTTTAACCGGACAATGACCGTCTCTGTGGGTTCAAGATGGACGCACTTACAGCACAGCATGTAACGGGTTTATAATGTAGCCCTAAAAATGGTGTCATGTGTTTAGGATGGCTTAAAAAGTAAGTTATAACACACTTAGAAGTGTGGTCCCACGGATTATAAACACACTAATAATCCTATTCTCATGTTGTTTTTAGTGCAACTATTTCCGCAGGAAAGCCAGTCCTTTGCAGTTGCCTGTTCTGACTGTGTGTACTCTGTAGCCTCACGGTGTGCTAACCCAGTTTTCCTGATGCTTTTGTTAATGGGCTGTGAAAGACTGAAAATTAGAGAATGCACTATGTACGCTATTGAACTGAACTGCTGGGGTTCCTATCAACGCTTATCGACTGTATGAGGATACTGGTTTTTGATTACCTCTTACGGAAAACTTGCCCCCCAATTTGAAAGCTGGAAAATCAGTGGAATAACTATTTCAAAAGAATCTAGAAATAACTTTTAGGTTTTCAGTATATATTTTAAAAACTGTGTACAAACTGAAGTATCTGTGTATGACTTCTCATTACAACAAATAAAAACTCAGTGATGGAGGTTAAGGACACAACATCTCAGTGGCAGAGACCTTGCCTAGCACGTGAGAGCCCTTGTGTCACTCCTTCAGATCCCAGCATCAAAACAAACAGAATTTCAATTATGAAAAAATATCCTAACTTGGGTGGTGTTAACTAGGTGTCAAGGACTTTAAGCACATGACCGCAACAAGCTACGCTCCTTCTCAGTGAGGGCAACACTCACTATGCCCACTGCAGTTTTGGGTGCTGGAGCTTTGGTGAGGGTTTACAACCAGGCTTTATAACCATCGTCCTATAATAATATGAGCCAGGTGCTCGTGCACATGCTTTCCATGGACCCCGGAAGACGTGTCCAGGGTGCATGCTCCTAACCCTGGTTACCTGTGCTTTGTGATATAAACAGACATACATCTAAGAGCTGCAGGAAGAGAACCAGCAAGCCCACCAGTGCGGGCTAGAGGGGGTGCAGGAAGCAGGACTTGCATGGAATCTCCGAGAGCCTCTACACTCTTACCCTGAATGCCAGAATGCAAGTCCCAGCCAGTCCAAAATTCCCATTTTCCTAGAAGATTTATGTATTTTAATTTCTTCATTCATATTTACATTCAAAATCAACAGAGCAGTACTTCCTGGCCAAAAATTAAATCAAAACCCACACAAAGGGTAGTACTGCCTGTACTCAGTAAACTGCTCAGTAAGGGATAATGAGTAATCACTTCGGCCTAGGTATCTTACTAATTAACTCATTCACACTATAGATTAGGGGCGCCTTCTCCTTCCTCTCGGTTGAACTATTCTGCCTGTCTTTCAAAGGCATGTCTAAAAAGCCTCACAAAGATTCCAGGAGAAAAACAGTACAAGGTCACCACCCTCTCAGTGCTGAGCACTCCAGCTACACAAATTCCAAGCCAAAGGCACAGACAGTAGACAGAGAGGGAGGGAGGGAGAGACGGAGAGACAGAGACAGAGAGAGCGCGCTGAAGAATTCACAAATTAGCATTTCTTTAAAATTGTGGTCAGAGATGACCTCTTGGCTGTGAGTAGAATTATGAGGTGTTTTTCATTTTCTTTATAATTCTGTAATAATTTAATTTTTGCAAATGTGACCAATACCCTCATAATCAAGAAAGCGGTGTAGACCCACGTTCAGAAGAACGTCCTTGGACCCGCGCAGTCTCCGCGGGGCCGCGCTCCCGCTTTCCCGCCCTCCCGCCCTGTGCGCGGCCCCCGTGGCTGTGCAGGGACATGTGTGCTTGTGCTCGCGGGGCAGAGCACACAGGGCTTTTCTGGGAGCACAGAAGGCCGCCTCCCGGGAGCAGAGTGCAGGCGCGTGACCTTGAGGCGGGCACGGCATTGTTCCCTGCTAAGCATCCTCGACAAAGCCTGGGCGGGAGCAGAGAGCTTCAAAATCTTGCTTTGATCCAGGCAGCCTGGGTTGTAAGAGACTTGTGTACGGGCTGAAACACTGCAAAGAAGGAACGGAGAAAAGGAAGAGAAATAAAAGACGGGAAAGCAGAGAGAAAGGGAGAAGGGGACACAGGAGAAGAGGAGCAATCCCCTGCAATAATCACGGCTCAAGTTTGTCTCAGGCTAGGTTAATACGGTGTGTGTGTGTGTGTGTGTGTGTGTGTGTGTTTTCCTGTACTGGATCCAAAGGCATATGTGCGTGCACGCTCACTGCGCCACTGTTCGCTAGGTTGTTTTGGAACTCTAATCCTCAGTCTTTTCATCTGTGAGGTGGGTATAACAACAATGCTGCCCTACGGGGTTGTTTTGAAGAAATAGGTAAACATATAAACTCTAACTCAAGTACAGAGTGGGCACTCACTACATAAATTATACCTATAACTGCTATGATTGTGGACTTTCTACAAACTAATGAACAGCTTTCCTGATTCAAGTGGGGGGAGGCTTCCTTCGGGAACGTGGGGATCTCCGGACTCCAGTTTCTTCCGGGTGGGTTACTGAAAGCACACCGGTGTCCAGCTTCAACACTTTCACTGAATACAAAGCAGCTAAGATGAACTGCAATGTTTTGACTAAAAGCACGTTTAAATGGCACACGCGGTGTAACTGAACATAAGCCCCGAATCACCTGCTACACGGTGCTGTCACACAAATACCCGGGACCCCACGTCTACACAGGCTGCTCTGCTGGTTTGTGGCCCCAGCCAGGGCGTCCACACGCACTCCCGGCCCCTGATGAGTCCCGGTCTCCAACAATCCACTTTCTCCCTCCATAGGGAACTAGGTGTGCATCCGACTAGACGCAAACTTACAGTAAGTATCAACAGGAGTTTGATGGCCTCCTTTCTCTGATCCCACAGACATAAACCTAACAATCAACAGTTTGACGTCTTTCTTTTGGAAAAAAAAAAAGAAAGAAAGAAAAACCTTACAGCGCAGGGGAGGGGTGGTTTTGTGCTTACTCTGTGATTCCTCACTGAATCCTGGAGTTTGTGTTGCGTGTGACCCACGTGGGCCGAGGTGCTTTTACCCTCTAGCATGCTTCGTCGTTCATACACTTCATATTTTGTAGGATGAGCATCTCATAAAACTTTTTTGTCCATTTTACACTGGACTAAGTCATCTATGGAAAACAAACAAAACCACACCCTCGGTGCCTCATTTTTGCTGCCTTTATCTGGTATCAACTTCCTATGTCTGCCTAGAGTGTACGTGTTTTGGTGGCAGCAATAGTAATTTTTGCTGAGATGAGCTGAGGAGAGATAAAGCTTGCAATTAGTACTATTCACAAAATAAAACAATTTACTGAGCATGTGTGATACACTCTCTCCTGGGAACTCTTATAGAGATTGCTTATTTGGGAGAACTTTATCTGAAATATATTTTTCTAAAGTGTCTGCCATTTTCAAAAAGATAGAATTAGAAAATCAGTCTAATATTTTTAAGCCTGTAAAAAGAGCTTGCAGTTCATGACAGTCTAAGAGATTAATGAGGTGACCATTCCACACGTTGAATTAACTGGAAACCCTGAATTAACTAGAAGTTCAGAGAGTTCACTTCCAAGGACTTAAATTACAGGACAGTGTCTATGGCAGCACTTTTTGAGGTGATCGTCTTACTTCTAACGCACCATAAACACAGAGATTCTCTAATTCTTTCTAACCCAGGCTGTAAACTAAACAGCACGTATTAAACACCTCCCCATATAAATGTCGGCCTTGATCTTCCTTCATTCAGTAAAAGCGGCTGGTTAGAGTGCCTTGCAGTCTCCCCATTAAGTTCTCGAAGGAAGCGCTAAGAGAAAAGGGGCGGCTATGAGCACACCGCCAAGGGTTGGCCGAGACGGACACAGCGCACACGGCCTCTCTGGCTACAGACCACTTCTTTTCATTTTTCTTTTTAGCAGTTTACATATTGAAAATCAGTACGCACACAAGATTCTTAAAAATTAAATAGCGTCTCTTTCGTCGCCTTCTCTGTTCCCCTCCTGCTCCTCTGCAGAGGCAAACACTGCACCAGGCTGTGGGGTCAGCTGCCAGAAACACCTCGGTGCCCGTGCCGCCGTGTGCATGCTGCGCACCCCTAAAAGCTCTGCCCTGCGGCCTTTTTTATTTTGTCCGCTCCCTGCGCCCGTCGGTGAACACAGTGCTCCCCCGTAGAGGTGCAGCTGAGTTTACTCCCGCTGTCTCCTCACCATTGCCCGAGTGCCGGACCGAGAGCAAATCTGAGTCCACACGGCCGGCCTGCGTTTGCAATGATCCCGCGGTCTAGCTGTTCATCTACTGAAAACAGCTGCGCGTCCTTCCTGCAGC